AATATATTTACATATCATAAAAATAAAATTATAAACAAAATATTCTTACACAGAATTTTTGAATTCAAATAGAAAACACGAAATCGTATCACACTTGACTTACTTCGATTTACCGTGATACTGTTTCTTCGTAAAACGCTATGCTTTCGAGAACGAATCCGGATCAAATCGAATGGAATACATATAATCCCGTTAAAGTGGCAATGTACAAGAAATAAAAAGATCGAACGACGTACTTAACGAGCAAGAGAAAATTCGAAATGCGATCCGTTCGATGGTTCGCAGAGTCGCGAAGTTCGAAGGCTGAGAGCGCGCACTCGCATGGTTCTATGGGAATGCCGGTTAATCCGATGGCTTGGCAACAACGCGTACGATACAGCGCGGCACGTCAGGCAACGTTGCAATCGTCTAATGCACGGCACTGGCGTGTGCACGCGTGGATCGTTGCTGGCTGCATATACGCGTGTGCGTATAAACGTGGCTGACGTCGAGAAATCGAAAGAGCGACCGAGCCGAACGAATGACGGAACGTCTCTGAACACGCGCCACGAGTATCCGGAGCTTTCTCGCGCGTGTTGCCTTGTGCGTTTACGAGGCACGCGCTCGCGAATCAAGTGCACTTTCAAGGCCGACGGCAGAAATTTCCTCTGACCTCATTTGAAAAACAGTCGGGGACACGTGTTTCCGCTCCGATCGGTCCCGTTTAAGAATACATTTCCCTGATCGTGCTAGTTTAATGGAAAAGAAAATTGGTGAATTATTTTCTTTGAATAGTTTCTTTCGATTGGTTATAATGTAACGTTTAGTCTAAAATTAATGTTCATCTTTATATCAAGATGTTTAGAAATTTGTATTTCTTTTAATTTAAAGATAAGCTAAATTTGTTCAGCTTTCTATGAGTTCATTATATATACAATAAAATTTCAACATACAGTAATTTATGGTATATTTAATAATCCGACATACATAATTCTAATCATAATCACGTTTTATGAATATTATTCTCTAATTACGATTTCTATTTCGTATGAATATATTTACATATTATTTGCATATGTATATATTATATGCATTATTCTTTTTTGTTAATAAACTGCATTATTATGATAATATTTATATTATTATTTTTTGTATTAGAAGTACAGTTTTATAATCCGCTATATTTGATAACATTGTACTGCCAAAATCCCTAGGATGTCCTATTATCATTTTACTGTACAAACGTTTTTAATGTAAATTCAACTCATACAAATGTTTTTTTATGAAAATTAATATTGTTTCACATATATTGACAAATTTTCAGTCGATCAAAGCAAATAAGAATATTTCAAAATATAAATTATAAATTGTCTATAATTTTAATGTAAATAAAAATAATTTTAATTTTAATTTTCATTCATTCTTAATTATTTTCTCAATTTTTTATAAAAATGAACTCACACAACTTTCATAATCCAATTGCTAATAAATCGAATATAATATTTTATTAGATAATCATCATTTTGCACTTATTTTGGAATATTATGGAAATATGATGACGTGTATTCAGTTTAATGGAACGAAATAGTAAAGTGGATAAGATATTGAGAATGTAAGAAGCGTTGTACGGCATTGCGAGGATATGAAGAACATTCCATGCGGTACATGAAATATCTACGGTTAAGCTCCTACAAGGAATATATCTAATGCATGTCTAGTACATGATGCGGTTTTATTCGAGCCTTGCTCGAGATTCAATTGGAGAAAACGAGGAAAGCTCATAGCGAAACAGCGTGTACTCAGTGGAGTGGGGGGCTTTCGAAACGCTTTGGGCACTTTCATGCATTGCGAAAGATTCAAACGGAGGCCGGAGGAGAATGATTTGGGTCGTGACCTAGATTTCGTATTCTCTGTTCGCTCTTTCTCCGTCTTTTCTTTGATTTTTCCCCCTTCTTCGATGTATGTCGCTTATTCACGTTGCTACATCGTCGAACACCGTAATTGGCTTCGGTTGATCGCCGTTCTGTTCGAAGTTACCGATAACTTTGCAACTTTGCCAAGTTCAACGTTCCGGTAGATATATCAATATATAATGTACGAACATTAACTACTTGTTAATTGTAATACGATGAAGACATAGATTAAAGATGTAAATGCATCGTTAAGATAATTTTTCCAACATGCCTATTTTTATCTTTTCCTCTTTTATCTCATTATTTACAGCTTGATCAAACAATTGATGTCTGCAGTGTTTTTCGCTTTATTTGCAAAACTAAGATGAACTCGTAAGCGTTTAAACTGAAATGACTCATTTGTAAGCGACATTATATACAAGCGATATGGCGTATCCATCGATAATTTGCATTTTGCAAAATTATTCGTACATCTTTAGATAAACATTTCTCAAAATTAACGATAACTTTTTCCTAGGATCGAGGATGACACCACACTGATGACGAATGATCTCAGTGATTAATGCTGTGCACTCTCTATTGGTGGTTCTCTGTTTACTAACTCGATGTCGGCAACTTGTTGGACACCGGTATAAGGTTGGATTCACATTGCTGTTCTCGAACAGTTTTCAAACTATGTTCGTTGGCAGTGTGAACACTTTTGCAAGCAGAGAAACGTGCAGCGAATTGGTCAGTGAATGCTATTTAAGAACAATGTTCGCAAATTCTTTGCATACATATCTTTGTTGCAGACTAAACATGTATAAGAACTATTCAATGGTAAATTATAAAAAAATCCACATATTCACATAAGTTCATATTTCGGATTTTTATGATAACGGAAAAAAAATTGCATTATATGTAACATATAATTTATCAATCTCGATGCAATTATCACGCGCGAAACGCGATGAGATCGTATGTAAATTTGAATTCTGCATAATTCAAAGCATTGCGTTTAGTAGTGTAGCATCAAGCTTTTTTTTTACAAAAATAAATATGATAAAATATGAACGCGGTAATGTTTTTAATTGCTCGTTATTGCGTACAAGTGAACAACTTGTATACTGACGAAGCCACAGAATGGTGTTAATTTTATTTGCCTGTTTTTAAAAAGAGACTTTTGATGATATTACACGAAAAGGTAACGCCATATATCTTCTGGATAGTTTCCAGAAGCAAGTAGGAGCTACCGTAAAGTAATGATCTCTTTTTTTGGAAAGTTTCCAATATTTCTCGAATCGATAATTTTTATACTTCGCATTGTTCACATTTTGCATATGAATATTTATGCGTAGACATGCATTGTGTTCCAATTAAAAAATTCTTGCAATATTGTGTTTATAATATTATATAATTTACGTTTATATGCATATCTTTATTTTAAGAAAAAACAATTTTAAAAAATATTGATTATCAGAAGCTGTTGCATATTTTTCCTCGAAGTTAGATAAACTTTATACAACATTTCGTAAAAAATGACATCTACTTCTACGAATAACCTATAAAATACTCATCTATTTTTACAATTACATTTTATAGAAAAGTTTTGTTATATTTATATAATTTAATTTACACTTTAATATAATAATACTAATATATGTTAATCTTTTGTCAGTATTGTTATTTACTTCTTTTCTTTGTTTATATCTACATTTCTAATATATTCGTATAATAACCTATTTCAGTCTTCTGTATCATTTATGTATTATTTTAAAGCAAACATAAGCAAAACATAAATGTGTAATCGGTATAAAATTAATATTTGTGAACAAATTTTTTTGCAGATTTCTTTTATATAATAATTTTTTCATTGTAATTATTATAAAATTAGCAATCATTATAATTCGTCGATTAGTGATCAATGATTTTGACAGGTTAGAGGTTATGGTTTCAGAATATTATATGTAAGTATATACATGTATACTTTATTATTTATTTATTTATACTTAAAGTATTTAAAAAAAAATCATTATCTGAATAAATATTCTGAAAAACTTATTTTCATGAATAAATGATAAATATAAAAATAGCTAAATATTCAATAATTAATTATGTAGTATCGCACTCGTTTTCTCGGTCAATAATTAATTGTATCGCACAATCGATTACGCTTCGAGAATCGAAAGTGATGTTTACTTACCGATTATTCGTCGACATTGTCAGTGCTTTCTCAAATTGCGCTACTGCATACTATTCCACATCTATCGTATTCTTGTGCACGGTATTATCGTGGAGCACGCGGTCGTTCACGAATTCAGAATAACGAGTAAATTCCGATAAGTTACCGGTGTGTCGGAAACTTTGGTGAGACGCGGCGGGAGGGAGCGGTGAGGCACGACGTCGAGCTTGTTTGAGAGGGGAAAGAGCGGGAACGCGAGACCAAACG